GGTTCATGTTTTTTTTTTGAATTTTCTAATTTTTTATATATCATTATTTTTGTTATTTTGAGTTTTTTTTTATATATTTATGCATGATAAGTTTTAAAATTTTTTAGAATAAATATTTAATTGTTTTAATAATAATAAAAATGAAAACAAGTAAGATAATAATTAAAAATATATATATTAAAAATGCTTAAAAAAATAATAATAATCTAAAAAATAGTAATAAAAATTAAAATTTTTTATTATTTTATTTTTCCTGCCTAGATGTTGGAGAGAATAAAAACATACTTCTAAAAATAATTTCACCTAGATGTTAGGAAATTATAAAAAGAAAATTAATTAAAAAAAGGCATAAAAAATTAAAATTAATAATAATAATAATACTAATAATAAATTTAATGTTATTGTTAAAAATAAGTTTTCATAAAAAGGGAAATATATGAAAAAATTTTAATAAATTTTCAAAAATCATAAAAATTGAACTTACTTTGAAAATTTGCCTAGATGTTGAGAATTTTGAGAGATGTTTGTTTTTTTTTTTCAAAATTAAAATTAAACCCTGAAACCCTCTAAACTCTAAAACAAAACATCAAATTGAAACCCTAAACTCCAAACCTCTAAACCTTGAAATCAAACCTCAAAACCTGAAATCAAAACCCTAAATCTTTTAAACCTAAAATTAAAACTTAAAACCTCAAACCCTAAAATTGAAACCCTAAAATCTAAAATCCTAAACCCTGAAATATAAAACCTTAAAATCCAAAATTCTAAAAACCTTAAATTTGGTATAAAATCTCGAATCATTGCCGAAACTCACCAAATCTTAAAACCTTAACCTAAACTTATACTCAAAACCTTTTCAAAATTTTAAGGATACGTGCGAAAATCTTAAGTGAAGTAATTTGTTCTCGATTTCCTCCTAGATGATGGGGTATTAAAAGAAATCTTATTCCATTAAGTTTTTCTCATGAGTCCATAATTTGCTTTAATAGTGGGGTTAATAATTGTTTAATAATAAAAAAAGAATAATAATAAAATGAGATTTTAAATATAAATAGTCGCACCTAAGCTCTACCTAAACGTTGGAGAGTCAAGATGGTCTCATTATATTTAAGAATCCAATTTGAAGTTTGCATTTCATCATTATACATAGCACCTATTAATTTACATGCATTTATTTGTTATTGTTTGCACTTATTTGCATTTCTCTATCTTTAATTTCTACTTGTTACCTGATAACACCATCATTTACTTTTTCGTATAAAATATTTTTTTAATTTAATTTACTTACTTTTAAAAATGTGCAATTTAAAAAAAATATAAAAATAATATTCAGAAGGAAATAATTTTTAGTACTCTGCCTAGATGTTAGAGAGTCACCAACAATTATCTTCTATAAAGAGTGTTATTTCATTTTAAAGATTGTTATGTTAAATCTTAAGCAAAAAGAATTATTTTAAATTTTGCCTAGATGTTGAAAATTTTGAAGATAATTCTTTAATTTAAAGATTTTCTCAATATTCCTAAATAAAAAGCTTTAGCAAAATTTTATTTTTTCAAACGAAAGGAATTATTATTAAATTTCAAATTAAAACTATTTCATCCAACATCGAAAAAGTACATAATTAAATGGTGCCAATTTATAGGCGTTGTGGGGGTGCTAATACTTTTCCACACGTAACCAACTTCCGAGTCTAACCTAATTTTTCGTAGATCAAAATTTATGTTTTGATAAACTTTAAACCCGTTTTTATAGTTTTATTAAAAAGATAAACTTTTAAGTGATCAATCGCACCATAAAAAAGATTGATGGTGACTCTTTTTTTTTTTTTTTTAAATTTTAAAACACTTTACGTCTAACGGTCCAAACACCGTTGCGACACTAATGAAGTTGGAAGAACAGTTATAAATAAAGGTAAAGAAGCAAATCTAATTGCAATATTTTTTTTAAAAAAAATTATAGTTTAGGGATATAAAAATAATTATAGGTACTAAAATTTAAATTCAAATTTATTGGATATCAACTCTTAAAAAAATTAAATGAATTAATTGAGTTGAACATCGATTTTCAATCTCATTACAATATGTATTATTTAGGAACCTCAAAATATGGGGAGGCACATCCCTAGCCACCCCATGCGTGAAATTAAGTATAAATTCTATATGTTTAATTTTCCAACCTTTTATAATCATGAATGATACATTCGCTATAGGTTGTTTATGGGAACTAGATCTTTCAAGCAAAGAAGAAAATTAAATAATAAACAATGGCAAATGCCAGTGAGAGTTGTGCATGCATGTTACAAAGGCTTTCCTGCCTATCTCAAAAGCAACATCAATTGCACAAAAGAATAGAGATAGACATGCAAACTTTCAGAAATTCAAAGGTATTGTTTATGTGATTAAACCATATAAAAACGTTTTTAATGATTCTGGAAAAAAGCAATTGGCTTTTTTCTTGGCACTTGGCATCGCATGGAGTTATGTGTGGTCCTTAACCTAAAGAATTTTGTGGTCCCTTTTGTATTTGCCTATGTATCAATTATAATCATTGTTGTAATCTAAAATACTAAATTATCACCCAAAAAAAAAAAAAGCAACAGCTATGAAGCTCATTTTCCTATAAAACAGGGCTGCAAAGACAAAAGGAAATTTATGGCACCGTTCTTTAGCATTATTAATAATTAGTAAAGAGTGGAAGCCTCTTTAACTAACATTTATTCATTTATTATTCTATAGGGATTGTTCCTTTAGAGGATCAAGATTTATAAAATTATATATATATATATATAAAAAAAAAACTAGATAGACTTCAATAGACCAAAAATTTCATATAAATTAAGGAAATATTCTAATAGATCAGAACATAAAAAGAATAAAAAAAGTTGAACAACCTTTTTTAAATTACTAGATATTAAATCTTAATCACTAAAATTAAAAGTTTGATATGAACATTAACATTTTAATTACTCTTTTGATTATAGTGACATTCTTTCAAACCAAGGTACGTATAATTTGAAAAGTAAATTTGAATATTTATTAATTAGAGAATAAGAGACAATTATCAAACCTGTTGATTGAGGAACAAGAATCTGAATTCAAATCATTGGCCAAATCAGATCTTATCTCAAGTTAAAAGAACTTTGAGGGGTTATATATTAAGTGATATAAAAATAGAAAAGAGTATAAACTAAAGTTTGCTTTTACAAAAGAGAGATCAAATTAGCCATTGAACGATTGCCTAACTAGCGTACAAACCTTGGGCTTCAAGTAATTGTTTTTTTTTTTTTCCTGTCATGCCTTGCAGAACACAGTTATGATGCAATTGCATAAGATCAGTCATATGGAGAAAGAAATTAATAAACTTGCAATAATATTATCCTTCTGTAAGAGACTATAATTCTATATACAATCAAAAGAGGTATCATGAAACAAAGTGATAGAGAACTTCTTATAGATGATATTAATTAATATAAAGATTTTTGTGCCAACCACTCTTTTTTTTTTTTGGGGGGGGGGGGGAGGGGATGGCATGCGAATTAGTTTAATTTTCAAGTTTTAATTACACAAATATTCATGAAAGAGAATTAGCAATGTTACAATGGTTTTATAATTGTTCATTACTTGAATAATATAATAGAAAGTGGTTGATATATAGTCTCAATCTTTTCATTGATTTGGTCCAAATTCAATCTGATACAAATCTAGAATTTTACTCATTTTGAAAGAAACAAAAAGAAGTGTACCAACTTCTAGAGTGATGGATGTTATAGAATTTAATTTGTGATATTAAAGCATTTGTGAAAGATGGGAAATGGCAATTTGAGTGGAATGTTAGAAATGAGCTAATAAAGACAAGTTCAATGTGGTGGAGAGGGAACTGATCAAAACCACCTATCCATGCAATTAATGGTCCAAATTAATATCTCAGACATGAACAATTGTCTTGTCCTTTGATCAAGACATCACCAAACGACTTGATTTGGATAAGCATTGGGTCATCGATCCATGCCATGATTAGCTATAACAATAACACAAACCAGGTTCGTCCTGTTCAAGTTCAAGCCAGGTGCTCTTTTAGTTTCTTCTTCTTACTTGCTCATGAAAGGATTCTAATCTCTACTTGATTGTAATTGTAAAAAAACTTTCTATTTTGTGTTTATGTTTCATACAAAAGCAACACTTTCAGTTTAGCACTGCTTATTTGATTTACGTTTACTGTTTGATATTTAACATGGAATTATATCAAGAATTTAATATGGAATTCCATGTGAATTTAGATAAGATTTAAGGCACATGAGCAGTGAATTAATGATTGGTGCATCAAAGAGCTGCAATCGAATTTTTTATTATTGAGTATTCATTTAATCTTTTTGATTAATTTAAAATCAAATTATATTAATTTATTTTTATTAACCGAACATGATTTATTAGTTTCAAACATTAACAATTCAAATTTAATTTGATAGATTCAATTATTTTTTTAATTAATTGAATAATAAAATATATTTAACTTAAATTATATTTTAAACTCTTTATTTTTTATATTTGAAACAAATTAAATCAAACAATCAAATAACATATTTAAATACTAAAGTATTAAATTAAAAATTTTTGCAATTTATTAAATGAGTGATCATTTCATATGTTTTTAGCTTTATATTAAAAATTTTGTTATATTTCGATTAAAATTTTAGCTAATTTAATTTTTGAATTAAATTAATCAAAAATAAAATTTTTTAAAAAATCATTTTTGATAATTAATAAAATTAATTTATTAATGAAATTAAATTAATGAAATTAAAATCAATTGTAAACGCGCATATCGCCCGTATCTTATATTATGAAAAGAAAAACTATAAGAGTTGAAAAATTTATAATTGGAGATTGGAAAAAGCTTTATAAATGGCAATGGGTTAGTTGTGGCCCAGTTGGTCATAACAGGCTCTCCCACTTCGTCGATACAGCAAGTTCAAAGCACGCACAAGTTGTAACATTCCAAGAAGGCCCACGTCCATTTCCATCACAAAACCCATAAAGAAACCTAACATAACATCGAAGAGTCAGTTTCCTATGCGTTTCTTTGACTCTTCATTGGGAACTCTCAAACTCTCAACGTCCCCCAAGAACAAGGAAGTAGAACAAAAAAGACTAAAACAATAAAAATAGATGGAGATCTTGACAGGCATAGGGGTGTTGGTGCCATTCCCATTTTACTACTTGTTATGGAGACATCCACAGTCATGGGTGAACCTTTGTGGGAAAGGAAGGGATCCATCTAAGGTAATGGCCCTCGCATCCCATTTCTTCAAGCTGGTTCAGTTCATTTCTCTCTTTTCAGTTTGTTCCCTCTCTTGGCCTCCCCCTCTTTATTTTTGGCCTCTCTTTGCCTTTGGTCAGTTCCTCAACTTCAGGTCAGTCGCTCTATATTTTTATGTTACGTTTCCTTCTATTATTGGGTTTGGAATTTGCATTTCTAGCAGTATTTGGGTGGGCAAAATTTTCTTTAATATCCAAATATAGATGGAACAGAGCTTCATTTTCGTAAAGCTGTGAGTTACTACATTGCTGGATATATTGTGTTGAGCGAATGTGAAATCATCTCAATATGAAAGAAAATACAGTTTGATCTCTGGGGTTCATCCCTGAGTCAGCTTAGGATCTGGATATATGAGCTATCTTCAGAACTTATCAGATTGCTTAATTGGAAAACCTTTCTAGGTATGCCATTAAAGAAAAGAAAGGATTTGGAAAAGTGAGGAAGAGAAACCAATATTATAGAGGGAAAAGCTATATGGTGCTTATGCCTTCAACAGTGCTTTTTGGGGAATGCAGTCTATGAGGTTTTTAGTTTGAAATACCAAATATTCCTAGTTAAAGGAGCAAAGAAACAATTAAGAAGTAAAACTAGTTGAAGAACCTTAAGTTGAAGGTGCTTAAAGAAGGTGATAAAGTGACACTGGACCTAAAATTTCCTCATTTTAGTGCTTTGAATCGTGGTTCCCCTAGGTAGAAAGTCCTCAGCTCTTACGTGCTTGTTTTGGGATATGATAGGGCTTCAAAACCACTTTAGTGTCAGCTTTTACTCTTCTCATTTTATCCTAGAGGATTAAGATTGTGCTTTCCTTTGTAGTGGCAAATGATTGGGCATGCAGATAATATTCTTGATCTGACTATTTGATCATCTAGAGTTCTATCATGAAATTCCGGAGTGAGTTCATTCAACTATAACGGCAGATGTGGAGGCATCGCCGTTAGACTGGTTTGCCTCGTTAGTTTTTATTTTCTATTATTATGGTGGCTTGTTTTACTTCCCATGATGATATCTTAGACCTTAGTAGTAAGATGTAGTGACAGGTAGATTGACTTGTTGGGTGGGGATTGTATTGCATTATGCTATGGTTTTCTCTGGGAGGCCTAGAGCAATGGTTATTTGATGTTGAAAGACTCCAAATCTAAACTATTATGTTTATCATGGAAGCAAAACTGGTCCTTATTGTTCTTCATCCAAGTTTTCTCCTGTTTTCTTTTCCCACTGGACTTTCTGATTTAGCTTGTAACTATACATTGCTAATTGTGATATCACATAGTTACAATCATTGTCAAACTATACATTGCTATGTAACTATACATAGGTAGTGTCAAAAGAATCTGATGACCGTATTCTAGAAAATGAATTCCATGGGAATTCTAATTATGTCTACTTGATAAGCTCCAGGTAGTTCATTAGGAATTTACTAATTTTTTGTCATGCTGGAAACTAAATTTGTAGGAGCAAAACCACTTATGCAAGGTACTTCTCTATTGCCCTTCGTACTCTTCATATAATAAATTATTTTTATCTTCCGTTTAGTCTTTCTCTTGTGGATTTTGGGTGATAGGTTAACTTGAATTGATATGGATATACCGCTATTACTTTATATTTCTACGTACATCATGTTGTTCTTGAATGTCATTTATGGGGTATATTAGCAGCTTTATGTTGTGGATTTAGGTTGTTAGGTTGAATTGAATTGATTTGGTGCTATGTTGCTTCTAGTCTAGATCTTACCTCTAGCAGTTAACTGATATTCAGTTTTACAGGGTGTATCAGTTGCTTGGTGAATCTGGCACTTACTATGGTGTACGCTTTGGAAAGAATATTCCTTGGGTAACAGAATTCCCTTTTGGGTTCATTAGAGATCCACAGTATGTTGGAAGCATTATGAGTCTTGTTGCATGTCTGTCTTGGGTACCCTTCCAATATATTCTCCTCTGGTCACTGGGCTATCTATTTATGATATACGTCGAATCAACAGAAAATCCAGCTACACGCGCAAAGCCTCTATCCTGATTGCAGGAGGTTGCAGTTGGCTAATTAGTGATTTTTGAAGAATTTGCCATGGTAACAATTGGCTAAAGATACTCTTCTTTTTTTTATGGGTATTTTACAATTTAAGCTCCTGCTCCATTTAAACTTGCTATTTTATGAAGAATCACCTTTTGAATAGCATTTGTTATGACTTTTAACTTTGCTTAAATGTGTATGACTTTTCAATTTAATACAGTGGATGGTGGAAAAGGTGTTATTCCTATATGCATTTGTGTTGATTAGAGTCTTTCATGTGTATCTACTCTCTAGATTTTCCTTTTTCTTTATTCTTTTTTTGGCTGAAAATAAGTTGCCACTATGAGGTTCTGATTTTGAATAAGCTCACTCTGTTTGGACAATGATTATTTCTGTAAGCAGAAATGAATCATGTTTGTCAAGATGCTGAAGCTAAAAATGCCGGTGGCCTTGTCTGATTGATGTGCGCTGACTGAATTGATTTGGATACCGTATTTGTAAGACTGGGAAACTACACCAGCATTTGGTTTCTGGTAACTAGCTTCAGAGCATGAACAGACAGTAATTTGACCTCAAATCTACCAGAACCTACTTGAGATTCATTGACTCACTAGTGTCAATCACTTGGATAACATTCCTAAAATGAAAATATTGGATTTTGACTAAATTGTCTTCTGACCGTTATTATTTATTTTGTACTTGAAGTCTAAAGCCGTCAGGGAATAGATTTGATACGAAAACTAAGAATTCAATATTTTATTAGCAAATTACACGATTATTAGTGTTTTTTAAACATTAAGCTCTTTGAATTGTCCAGCATAAATTTGCCTTACCCTTTTTTTATGCCATTAACATCAGTTTATAGCTACGATTCCTTTCCAGCCGTCTGAAGAAGTTTACAATGTACTTCGATTGGAAGTTTGGAACAAAAACAACGTAAATCTGCCCCACCTTAAAGATTTTACTACTATGGTCATTATGTGAATCTGTCAAGACATGCACGTAAATCTATTGCTTCTTTTGCCATATGGAACAATTGAAGGTAAAACAGAAACAAAATGAAGAATGAAAAACAAGGAATCACAAGATCTAAAGAATCAATGTAGCCGAAAAAAAATGATGAACATCTCCTATACTAGAGCTAGGGACACATCAAATATTTGTATAATGTAGTTCATCCACCGTGCACAATTTAGCATTTTTTTATCGATGTGGAATCTTTATTTCTCTGAGAACAAAACTCTGTCACCGCCTTGTGCTTATTTTGCCATTCATCATGCACCATTGTGTATGTTCAGTTACATTTGTATCTACTACTATCAGAATCGGGAATCCAATGCTAGCTTTTGTCTCAACCTAACATTTGATTCACCTAAAAAGTATGTCATTTGGTGTTTTAGCATGGTTGACAAAGAAGTTAACAGATAAATTAGCGTCACTGAAATCTCATTCTGGTGACTACCTGTTTCAGATCATGTGCTGGCTGTTTTTTTCAATTCTCAATGCTATTAAACTGCAGTTATCTTAGTAATTTCAGATTAATCTAATCATGCATGGAATTACTATGAATAAACTATCAAGGGCAGGCCGCAGGTTACTAAAGATGGTTTGGTAATCTAGAACTAGGAATGTATTGAATGTTCAAGTTAATTGAATTATGGCGAAAATATTAACCCAAAATTATGTATAATTTCGGTAATTTCAGATGGATTTGATCTTATATGGTGTTTATATTATTACTCTTAATTAAGGCCAAGGTCACTAGAGATGTTTTAGCAATCTGAATCCGTGAATGCACTAGATAAGAAGGGTTTATCGGGTTGAAGTTCAGTGACAAAATTTGTGAAAGAACAAAATTACCAATTGTCTTGGCAATTTACAGATTGACCTGATCTTGTATAAAACTTCTATGGTTATTCTTCTTCAAGCAGAAGGACAGCAAAGATGGTGGGGCAGTCTATTCCTTGTGGATCCAGTGGAAGGGTTATCATAATTAAGTGACAAAAAGGGCAAAATGCAGAACACAATTACTAATTGTTTCATCGTATATCACAGAGACTGGTTTACGGTAAAGGAAAAGAATGTCTCTAGCTGATTTGAATTCTGTTGAGTTGCATTCCTTTTACAATATCCAGCTGCTTGAAATCCATTCTCCCCTTTAATGGGTATGATCTACGGCTCCCAAGTCCTAATATTGCTCGCTTTTAGTGTCTGCTTGGAGTTCCAGATGGAGTTCATGATCACAAGTACGTAATTTGATTGCACTACTCATTGTCTTTACGTTTTTTAAATTCCTACACAAAATTTCAGATGTTGACTTCCTTAGCCTGTTTATTTTTCCAATGCAAGAAAACTGTTCGAATTGCTTAGCTTATCGGGTGCCTTGGCTGCACTGAGATGTTCTTTTGTATACACTTCATTTAGTATGATCAATTTATATTTTAAAATTAAGTTTTGAATTTTTTTATTTGTGGTATTGTATTTAGTTTATAGTTATTATTACTAAAAAAACAAAAAATAGAGAAAAATTTATTTTGTTGAAACTTAAAAATAATTTAATTTTAATTGAGTTGTTGAATTGAAAGTGTTTTAATTAAAAAATGACTATAAAAAGAAATTGATTTGAAAGATAAAATTGATTAAAAATCCAAGGTTAAAGTTGATTACCAGATTCAAACCAAAAAAACCCATTTTTCTATTATAATTGAGATTATAAGCTTATAAAAAAAAACCTATTAGAATCAATTAGAGGCAATCAAGAATCAATAAAAAAAAAATCAATAGAGAAAGAGTCAAAAAAAAAAAAAAGTAAAAGTTTTTTTTTATAATATTTTATGGTGTTTTTGGTTTAGATAATTAAGATTTTCTTTTAAAAGTTTTGTGTTGAAAAAATAAGTTAGAGAAAAAACCCAAAAGGAAAGGCATTCATAAAAAAGTTTCAATAGCAAAATTTTTTAGGGTTTTACCTATAACCTGTTTTGTAGAGAAACAAGAATGAAAACAAAACGATGAAAAAGTAGGAAATGTAAAAAGGGAATGACTTAATTTGAGGATCCAATCCAATAAGGAGCCTAAATTGTAATTGGTTCCAACAATTAGCAAATTAAAATACACAAACACAATTACAAAAGACTATGTGCTTTAAAATCAATTCTGGCTCAATATTTGATATTTACTTTTTACTTGTTTTTTTTTTAAGTTTTAGTTATCTTTGTATTTTATCATAATTATCTATTTATTTATTTATTTGTTTGTTTATTTCATTTATTTTACTATTTATGTATTTATTTATTTGTAAATATTTTTTAATTAAAAAAAAAAGGAAAAATTTTTTTGAAAAAAGAATCTTATCAACATATTAGATGGTTCAAATTTTTTCAAATAAATGTTTAAATAAAAAAATCTTACTAATATATTGGAAGATTCAAATTTTTAATAAATTGTTTTAATAAAACAAAAACATTTATCAACATATTATAAGGTAATTTAATTTTTAAAATAAGATTTTACTAACATATTGAAAAATTTTAATAATTTTTTATAAAAAAATTCAAGAGAAAAAATATTTTTCAATAAAGTCTTACTAACGTATTGGAATGCAATTTGGTTTTCAAAATAAAGTTTTACCAATATATTGGAAAACCTTATGATTTTTAAATATAAAAATTAATTTCTAAAAAAAAATTAATTTTCATAAGATCCGACCAACATATTGGAGAATAATTTTTAGTAAAAAATCTTACCAACATATTGAAAGATATTTTTGAAAATAAAGAATTTTTTTTATTAAATTAGATTTTGAATCTCCGAAAATAAAATCATTAAGAATGTTACAAATAGCAATCTCTATGTAAATTTTTAGGTGAGAAATCCTTTATAAATTTTACTAACATATTAGAAAATTTAAAACATATTTTCAATATCAAGATTCTCACAAAATTTTCAATTATCACAAACAAAAGTTTTTTACAAAAATTAAATGACTCCGACAATGAAGCCTTTTTAAAGTGTGACAAATAATCTTCTTAAATACTCATGAGGTAAGGGGATGTTCTTGATTTATTACCAACATATTAGAGTAATTTAAGGATAATTTTTTATATTAAATTACATGGTAGATTTTTTTAGGCTTTTGGATAACACGAAATTAAACTGGTATCATCATTTGAGTGGGCAATATGTGGTGTTATAATCTTTTTCACATGTAACCGTACTCCTGAACCTAGTTCTAGTTTCGTAGACATGAATTTACTTTTTAAAGATAGCTAAGTCAAGCTTATAATATTTTTTTAAAATGAGACAAATTCAATTAGGTGATCAATTACACATAGACAAAAAAAATTAGTGGCGACTCCTTAAGTTAAATCTAGTTATAGATCTACGAATTTATACATTATGGTTGTTTGGCGACTCCACTAGAGAGGTCGAGAGTTAGGCCAGTAAACTTGTGTTATTCAAAGCCTAAGTTAAAATTAAGACTTTTTCTTTAAATGATTTATCTGTTTCTAATTATTTTATATTATGTCATTCAATTGCATCTGCGTAATATGAGTTCTATACCAGAGCTTTGTCCCTTAAGAGAGAGTAAAGTACATACACTCTTGTGAGATTTCATGTCTTTGTCCGGGCTAATGAAATATTCTCATTCAAATTGAATCATTTCTGTTTATAATGGGTGAGGAATGAAGTATCTTACAAGTCTATTATGGACAATGATGTGAGAACAATTTGATAATTTTTAGATTTAACCCAAACCACATGCCATAAAACATAAGAAGCCAACTTTAAGTTAGAGCCATATCTACCCATCATTAGAATGTAACCCTAGCTAGGACACATGAGTGGACTTTTTGAGCTTCATTCATATCAACTTCATGACAATTTTTTTTTTATCCTTATGTGTTGATTAAGTTATTGTATGTTGTATGCTGTATCCTTATTATAGCATCTTTGATATATGTATTCATCTATGCATCATAATGTGACACATCAATACATGCATTTGTACATTGTTTATGCATTCATTCATGTATATAGGATTCTTAATAAGGGTTAGATTAGTAACATGAGTATCTTAATTATGGTATATAAGATTCAAAGATAGCTCAACCGTCTAAGAATCCTACTCAAATGACCTACCATCAACATAATATTAAAGCCCAAGCCAGACAAATGGAGCAAAAAAAAATACAAATCGTCTGGAAAAAATAGATAAGGCCTAACAAAAACTTGAATGAGAGTTGAGTAAAATTTTAAAAACCCTAAATAAATTGAACAAAATGAAGGTTGTAGAAAGAAATGCCAGCCAGCAAGAGCATCCATTATAAAAAATGGCTAACCTTTTATACCCTCCTGGTTATGGGCCGCATCAAGCCTGGTCCATACAAAATGTACCACTATAGCAGTTCACATACCTTGTAGGGTATACATATCCTGAAATACCATCAGCTTCAAATCTAGAATAATATCAGAGTTATGTAAATCTTATATTTACTAAAAAGACAATAAAACCAATCCAGGTCTCTGATTTGGATAATCCAAAAGAAAAAAAATTAAAAATAAAAGTAGTCGAATCATTAAGGGACTCAATAGTT